GTCTGTTGGCCGCTTCCTCTCACGGTGGGTTGTGTCGTGTTGTGCCCGGAGCTTCGGGAAACACGTCGACACAGTGTAACGTTGTTTTATTGTTACGTTACTAGTAGCTGGTTGTAGTTTACTGGCGTTGTAGCAGTGTTTGTGCGGGTTTGGCGCACTTTGCGCAGCTTGTTGTAGAGTTACCTGTAAATAACTTCCACTAGTGCACGTCACTAACAATGGTGACGAGGTGAAAGGGTGTTGTTAATAAGTTTATTAAGATTTAAACTGAGATGTTGTGTAGAAGAGTGTGGTCAGGTGCATCCTGTTTGTGTTAATTGTCCACCTGGACACAGTTTAGACACACACCTGTGCAGTGAGGTCCCACAGGTCACAGCCTCAGTGGACAGGGACACGTTTGATAGGGACACATTGCTCTTCGTCACTAACTGGTTGTCTCCTGTTTGTACCTGTGTGTTACAGCCGTTGCACCAGTGGACCCGCGGAGGCCGACCACAGCGCCCCCTGCCGTCGTCCGCGCCTTCCCAGGTGGATCACAGTGGATGATGATAGTTGACCAGCTGTGTTCAGTTTGTCCAGAGAGTTAATGTCGAAGTTTAACTGTCACGGGCAGGTTCATCTACGTTACTGAGTGGTGTCACAGCAGTGCACAGTGCACGGTGGTCTCTGCAATGTTGGTTTAGTCCACTTCAGTAATGTTCAGCAGATAAAACACCTGTTCTGTTTCTGTCACGTCCTTGTTATGAGAAACTGTTGGTGCTTGAATGGAATAAATAACCACGTGAGTGATGCTGCAGCTGAACTGTGACGTCTCCTTAAGATGAGGAATCACTGGGATCCATTGATGGACATAACCACGAGAGTGTTTTCAGCTGATGCAAAGAAAGGACTGACTTTGTGTGTAGTCAGGAGGTGTAGAAGAAACAGGGCTCAGCCTGGAGCTTGGAGTCGTGACTCATTCAGTTGTTGTTGAGCTTGAATTCATTGCAGAAGAAATTGAATTTTTGTGCCTTTTGTTTGTTTGTTTCAGTCCAAAGAAACCTGACGACTGACCTCGGAGGCATGATCACCCTGCTGTGTCAGGCTCCCAGCAACATGACCATCTTGGGTGTAAGGTGGACCAGACCGGACCTGAACCCGAAGCACGTCCTCTCTCTGCAGGACGGACAGCTGGACCTGATCAACCAGCACCCATCTTTTAGGAACAGGGTGGAGCTGGTGAGCAGGCAGCTGACCAATGGGGACCTGTCTCTGGTCCTCAAGGACGTGAGAGCAGGTGACAGGGGCACGTACGAGTGTCGCTACAGAGGGAGGAGAGGGGCGGTCAGTGTCGAGTCAGAGCCCGTCAGCCTCATCAACCTCACGGCGTCACAGTCAGGTGAGCCTCAGGAAGAACCAACAGTGGGGTAGATGCAGGCTTGTATCCTCCTGTGACTTCAAATCCACTCCCAACACGCGTTCTAATGTGGAGAGGTGCCGTCAACGCCTCCTGTGGCCCAGACTCGCTGGCAGCAGTGCAGAGACCTTGGCTTCTAAAGGGTTTTGAGCAGTGAGCTCTCTATCAATCAGGTTTTCAGTTATTTCTGCCTGATCAGTGAGTTCTACTGCATTCTCATGTTTTTCATAAGGAACCAGAGCTGGGCGGAGCAGAGTGGGCTGATCGGTTTATTCTGATGCATACTGCATTAAGTCACAAACTGTCTCCGTCACTTATGATCACATTTAGCTCTTATCGATACAACTGTTCCACCTCAGATGAGGGTGACGTTTTTGCACTAGATGTAGATGATGTACGGATGGAAACGTGGTCTACAGATGGTGGAAGGTTGATGTGCACACAGGATCATCACCTTGTCAGCTAGTGGCCAGGTCCTCCTCTGGTTGTACTGACCAGCTGGAGTAAACCGGGTTCAGTGAGAACTAGAACGGACTCTGTGGTTCAGGCTGTTCTGATGCATTGTCTGTCTGCTCTGACTCCAGATGACGCGACCAGCCGCCAGGCCAGAGGCCACACGGCAGTGATAGTCACCCTGTCAGTGATTGGTGTGGTTGCTCTGTTGGCCGCTGTCGTTGCCGTGGTGATCTCCAGGAAGTGTAGACGACACAGTCCACAGCAGAACTGAGGAGGGCTTCACCTCACTGACTGCTCCGGGCACCGGCTGAATCATCTGTCAGTGATGCATGACGCAGTCGAGAGGTGTTGAGTGTGTGGCTGTGACGAGCAGGACCCGAGTCTGAGCCTCTGGAAACCTCAGCGTGGGAACGGTGAGCGGCCTCAGGCTGCACAGGGACTGCATGTCTGTGTCGTCTGTGAGCGCACGGACTGCAGTGTCACCTGGTGTGGCCAGCGAGACGGACAGGAAGCTCTGATACATACAGCGGTTTGTTTACATGACCATGTTTTAATCACTCTGTAATTAATGTAAAGTTTTTATAAACAAAATGTTGAGTTTGTGCTGTTTTATAAAAGAGAAATAAAGTTTACTAGACCCACTGTGTGTAGTGTGTGTTTGGGTCATGACCTCAGTCTGATGTCCTGTGGACAGAGCAACCGGGTCTGAAAACGGATTTATAGTTTGTCCACGAGGAGCTTAATACAAGAAAACAGTTGGTGTGAAGTATGGCGTCCTGCTAACGTTGAAACAGGGCAGACTTTGAATCTTACTAAACTACATTACTAACACGATGTCTAATTATCTAATTTATTCAGTTCTAACACTTCCAAGTAGACGTTAAACATGTTTCTTCTATCTAATTTATTCATTTCTAACACTTCCAAGTAGATGTTAAACATGTTTCTATGAAACAAACTGCCACAGTTTTCCAGCAGGTTCGGACTCGTTCAGCTTCCATGTGCCGAACCAGGTGAAGCTCCTCTGGTCGTGATGACCTGCTGCCACCTGCTGGTGACTCGGGGAACGGCAGGTTTCTCACTGTCAGTTTGGACTGAGGAAAAATCAGGTGCACGATTTTTGATGAACTGGTAACGAGACCATGAAGGTGAGAAACACTGGTAAGATTTAACAGCAGCACCTCGTTTAAGAACATTTCAACAACGAAGTTCTTCAATAACGTTAAAATTAAAATACTTGTACACATGTCAACACCGACCTGTGACTGGATTTAAATGCCTGTGGAAACAAACGGGTCTTAAAACGAGATGTAAATTTTTAGAAGGTGCGTGTAACTTTCTAATTTTGACGGGAACAATCGGGTGTTTAAAGGCAGTTTGGTCACGTTATGTGTTGGCTCGAGAACTAAAAGTGGAAAGTTATTGTGAGAAATGTGCATTAATCTGTTTAATTTTGACTAAACCAGCAGATGATGTGTTGGTGTAGGAGATGATCAGTTTGTTGTTTCCTAAACAAGGTGAAGTCTCCAGATGTTTTAGGGGAGTTTTCATTTTGTCTTCATGACAAAGACAGAGGTGACAGTTTACTGGTTACAGCGTCTGTGACCATGTAAAAACCAAGTCTCACTTTAAAAATGGACATTTATTAACAGACATACATTGTGTTACATGTTGAGTTAATCTGAATATGGTGAAGTTTAAAACGTCCTAATCAGTTTCATGAATGATGTTTGTTCCATTAAAGTGAAATGACCAGATCGGTGGTCGGAGCTCGGTGACGCCGTGTCTCACCGTCCTTGGTGCTGAAGTGAGGAAGCCTGAGACTTGGACTCAGGAAGCTTCTCACACCAGTCACATGGCAGATGGAGCTCTGTGGGTCTGAAACGCTCCATATAAAGGCTGTGGAAGGTAAGTCCACGTAGGTTTTACTCTGGGACGTTAGGATGAGTTGCTAGATGAGCATTAGTTTTAATTTAAAGGTTAATCCTGTGAACAGCACTGGGCCGAGCTGTGGTAAAGGCTCGTAGTACTACTGGAGGTTTACTGTTTGATGTGACAAAGTACTTGATGATGCAGTTTGTCCACTGACACGTTCCACAACACTGGCGTTGTCTGGACCTTTGTTTAAAATGAGGAGAAGGACACGGACGGGTGTGGCTGCAGTAAAGGAACAGTCCAAACTTCAGACGGCGATTTGATGTTGGACATTTGGTCGTCGTCCTGGTTCTATCAGACACCATCTGACTAATGTAGCAGGAACTCTCAGCTCAGAAGTGATGCTCAGTGGTCACCGCCATGACGTCATCATAGTCCTCAGCCAATCTCTGCTCAGCCTGGGAGGCTGCTGCTGTTGCCATGGAGACGGGCAGGTCATCACCTGTCACAGAGGTTAATCATAAAATGTTGGTAATGTTTATAAACAGGTGGAAAAGCAAGATGAGTGTTGTAAATGACACTGTAAAACTAACTGATAGAGATATTGGGCATTGATTGATTGATTGATTGATTTGTAGTGGTTAGAAACAAACAAACAGAATATAATAACATATAATATGTAATGTAAAGTAAAACACATTAGAATGAGATATAGTGTGAGTTAAAGAAAGTGGTTGTATAACAGCCGCCAAGGCGTTGACCTTGTGTGCTTCCAGAAGTGCATGTGCTGCTCTCAAGAGGGTGTTGAGCGCCTGACTCCCAGCTATTCAAAGCATCTGGCATCTAACATCTCCTAAAAGGAAGGTTTAAGGGTTGATGCAACTGGGGAAACAATGATAAGAAGCGAGAGATGTGAATAAAGTGAGGAGCAGAGTTGGTCAGGGTGTGTGTGTGTGTGTGTGTGTGTGTGTGTGCATTCAGAAGGCTAAACGAACAGGCGGATCCCGGCCAGGAGGGAACCAACCGGACTCTGGACTTTGACTGACTGTGACAATCTTCCTATTTAACACTGGATTTATTCCTTTGCAGAGGTGGTGATTTGATTCCCTACCTTTCAAACTATTGAATTGCCTTGAATTATTATATTAAATTATCATTGTAATTGGAATTGATTTGTCTGAATTAGTTTAGTTCGTCTCAGACCCTAACTACCACAGACTGTCAGGTCAGTGAACGACTCAGTGTTACCTGTTGGTCGGCGTAGATATAGAGACACCATGAGGAGAGTGGAGATGAAGTATGGACAGAACACCACCAGGTGGAGGACCAGTCTGGGTACAAGCTGGAGGGGGGTGGAGTCTGAGGGCGGGGCTGTAGCTGCAGGTCTCTCTGCAGAGAGAATCCACCTGGTCAGGTGAACATGTAGATGAACTAAGAGCTGAAACCAGAGTGACCTCCTGACCTGTGACAGAGAGCCAGCTGGGTGGAGACGCTCCATGACCACTGATGTTACAGGTGTAGAGGCCTTCATCAGCCTTGGAAACACGGCGGATGGTCATGTGACCTGTAGGCTCCGCCCCGATCAGGGAGCCATCTTTATAGAAAGCAGCTGGGAGGCTGGAGGGAGGGCTCCGTGCTTCACAGCGCACAGTGACATCATGTCCCTCCATCACAGGGAGGACAGGACTCTGCAGGATCACTGCTCCACCTCAACACAGAGACAAACTACAGCCTTTCATCCATTTACACACAGCTTCATCAGCACTGACTCCACAGTCTGATCTTACCAGTGACAGTGATGTTGATGCTGTTACTGGTCGCTCCCTGTGTGGACTGGCACCAGTAAACACCACTGTCCATTGGGTCAATGCCCGTGATGTTACAGGAAGAACCAGCTGGTTCTCCCCAGTCTTCACACTGAGTCCTGGTGTCTGTGGTCGTGTTCCTCCTCAGCGTCCATCCAGCAAAGCTGTCGTCCTCCTCACAGCTCAGAGACACTGAGTCTCTGTCAAACAGCTGAGAGCTGCTGGGACTCACAGTCAGACGAGCTGGAGAGAAGTCAGTGAACATGTGGATGAAACAGGTAAAAGTCCATGGTTTCCCAAAACAGTAAAATCTACATCCTACAGTTTTACTGGATGTTTTCACCAACAAATGTTTTAATGCTGCAGTCAGTGAGTGAACCAGGACTGAAACGTGTTCATTCTGACCACGTTGTCACTTTATGGGTCTTTGGTGGATTAGACTGAAATCAGTGAAACTCAGTGAGAAGGGCTCAGAGAAGCATGTGGTGCAAGATGGAGTCAA